CAAGAGAAACAAATTGCCTAAAAGACTGAGATTTGCCTCCGTGACCTTTACGTTTCAACAGATGCATGGGCTGCAGGCTCCTGAAGGCACAGTGTATAAACTAGCACACACATGGGTGTATTTAGAGACAGCACAACTGAAACATGATGCATAAAATGGTATATTCCTGGTGTTCCTATACTGAAGTCCTACCCCTGGTGTCTGACACGTGGGATTATTCATGTAAAGCAAATGGGATTGGACCCAACTTTTCTTTTTTTTTTTTAACCAGATCATGTAATTATCACATTATTTAAAATAAGTTTAATGAGCAAGGCAATCCAAATACTTAGGAGACACAGAAGAACCCTGTACCTTAGAAACAGGTATTAAATTACCTTGTAACATAGATGAATGTTTCATTTTCAGATTAAAAGGGAAACAAGTTGTACTGTACTTGAATCATTGAAACATACCTCTTCCAAGCTGAGCTGTAAGTATTCAAAAATCCTAAATGGATTTCTTCGGCACACTAGTTTTTCCTTCTTGACAAGCTACAAGAAAATAAAAACAAAACAAAACCAAAAAAACAATCAGTATTATTTGAACCTGCAAAAAATACTGAATTCTGAAAGTGGTGCTGATATCACTCTTCTAAAGGATTAGGATACTCTTTATCCTTACACTTTCTTGCCCATGAGAAGTCTCATCTTCAGGACATACACTGCATTCTTCTTCCTCTTGCACCAATACATATTCTGGAGCACATTCTTTTGACTTCATCATTGCACAAGACCTTTGCTTAGTGCTCTCCTCTGCCTTGCAGCCACAGTGTGCAAGAAAACCACCCTCCTGACAAGACACTTCAGCTTTCTCTTTCAAGTCACTTCGTTCCTGTTCTTTAGGGCCACGTACAGGATCAAATGCTAGATCTCCTTCCAAACACGCTTTCTTGCAGCCTTTGTCCTCATCCTCAGGACTTGGGTCTACTACATTTCCAGTATCTGCAGAAGGCTGCCTGGAGAGTTCTGTATTTTCTGTACTTGGGCCCATTCTGTTGCAACTAGCACTGGTTTGTTTAGCTCCATTCTCTTCCAACAGGGGCAGCTCAAGAGGCTTAGTGTAGTTTTCAAGAATTTTGGTAACTGAGCAGCCATCAAGTCCTTGTTCTTGCAAAACGCTTTTAGCCCACTGAACATGATACTGGTACCTAGCAAACAAGTAACATAAATGAGACAGTCTAGGGGACTGCATCCTTTAATTAACATCTTAAAAACAAGCATCTTAAAAAAACACCCAAGATTCAGCACTGTTCACAAACAAAATCTAAACGCACACCCCAGTAACTGCTATGCAAAATACAGACATGCACACTGGAACAGGAATCCAGTCTTCAGGAAGCTGCAGTGTTACTGAACATCTTTGGCTTTATTTTGCCTTTTAAGTTCCTGAAGTAACAAACACTGTTACTGACCCTAACCCTAACCCCTCCCATCCCTGAGAAACAACAAAAATCTTACTGGTGAGATAGTGACTGAAAGCTGTAAATATTTCTAATATTTTTCAGTTATGATAGAGTTTTTTGTTTTATTTCTCCTTGGAAGTCAACATCAATATCCAGCTGAAGGCATTAATCTTCATCCTGTGAAAGCTGCAGGCAGATGAATGCAGCTGTCCTTATCCAAACCTGGACAACTTTAGTATGATACTCTTTACTTCCCAAAACAAAATCCTAACATGGCAATTATAGACCATGTAATGAAGAACTACAAATGACAATTAAATGCAAATTTCATGTGTCAATATAAAGTGTAAGTCCCTCTGAAGTCTCATAAGCAAGCTATATGATTCAGTGGTGTACTTCGCGTTACAAAAAGTAGTTAGACTCCTCTTTCTCATGTGATTTAACTACCGTATAATTTTCACTTACAGATCTTTACCAAGACGGATCATGTTGCATTTTCTGCACCAATATAATTACACTGCCATTGATGCTCAGCTGCTTTTGCAGGCACATAAAACAGCCACACAGTAGACTAATGACAAGTGTTTCTGCAAGTAGTAGTAACTGCAGTAGCAGTAATATTGCCACTCTTTGTCTTACATAAAGTTGAGGACTGAAGAAGAATAACTTTCACATTTAAATAAAGTAAAATTTTTAGAGTTATCGTAAGATTAAAGCAGAATAACTGACTTGCACACTCTTAACAGTTCATATGCTATTTAAGTGGAATAAAATAAATACGTGCTTTGGTAAGTGTTAAAAGAGACTTCTTTTTAAAACAAGGTAAATTGTTTACGTATCACAAATGTTCAAGAACTACTTCAGCTCACACTATAGTAATTCAGTAAGGAAATCAGAGTTAGTTTAAATAACGTGCCCCAGAAACTCTTCGCCTCCTCAGCTGAGGAACAAGTTTATTATGCTTGATATTATTATGAATTAATTGCCCATACTACTACATGTGCACCCAGTCTTGGCTTTTATTCAGCAATTAATCTGCAGGCTCACACGAAAAGCCATGCTGAGTATCACCTACTCTATTTCTGGTTTTAATAATGTGATTATAAATGAAATAAAAAGAAATAGAAGTCATCATCATTTATACATCCCACAGTCTGAAAGCCAGTAAGATGAAATATAAACTAGAATAATCTTTTCTAAAACAACCGACCCCAAACCACCAAGAATAAATTAATGTAAATTAACTTACTTTTTTGCTGTAATTATAGGCATGTTTATGTTAGCACCTGTAGAAAGAAAAAACATACATTATTTCATCAATATAAAAGGTTTGCATGTGATTTTTTATCACCGAGGTAATTTGTAGCTAATAACTACTTGCATTCTTAATCCTTGGTGCCATTTTGGTCCCACTTGTACTGAAGGACACAGTAGAAACAGAAAAAGCACAGAGGTAGCAGCCTGCACAAGAGGAACAATTAAATGCAGTATCTTTCTCCTGCCCATAAAAAGACAATTATGGAGGGATATGATAACATCCAGATATGTCTACTGAGGCGTAACTGCCATGGAAAAGATGAATGAAGACATCTGGTACTGGCTATCATCAGGTATGAGGAGAGAGATCCTTAATCTGACCCAGCAGAGATATTACTTTTCTATGTGCAACCTAAGCATATATCTTCAATGAGTAGAGAAAAATGGAAAGTACTATTGGGACAGTGATGGAAGTACAAATGGACACAATTTACCTTGCCACTTGGTAACCAGTGAAGGATCTGAAATGCTGTACACTGGCCGGCTTCTTGAAAGAATGCCTTTTCCAAAGTAGCCCTTCAAAGAAAAGGAAAAATCCTGATTATGTCATGACACAAAACCTAACTTCCTTCCAAATTATAAAACATTGCCTGCCAGGATCAGCTGAAAAAAACACCCAACCCTGAAATTCTGCAGCATTTAAGCTTTGCGTAACACTTGCTGCTTAGCATCTGGTACCTAGCTCAGTATTAAACACCTGCACTCAAAGACTTAACCAGTGGAGGGTGGTGAGACTTTCTCCTCCATCTTAAATATTTGTCAATCAACACCTTCAAGGAGGCTTCTGAAAGCAGATGCAGAAGAAAACACCCATGTATTCAAAATGATGACAATGCATGACAGAAAACAGAGATGGACAGTGGTAAAAGGGTATTCAAAACATAAAAGGCTTAATTTAGCTTGACTTACTCAGGAAGAAATCACTCTGAAGTTAAAAGAATCCTACAAGCATTTCTAAAACATTAATATTCCAATCTCTTGGGCTTTAAAAACAAGAAAATGCTTTTGCAAGGTTGAATAAAATGTTGGAAAAGAGAATTAACAAGCACAAAGTCCTGCAGGTGTTTTTCAGCTCACAATGCCATTTCATTCCCAAATGTATTTGCTGGGATAAGCACGAAATACCTTTCATATTTGATATAGAATATGTATTTTATAGCGATTTCAGGAGAGAAGGGAGATATGGACAGTTACCGGAGGCTGAAGGGGATTGAAGGCATAAAGGCAGGCAGATTTTAACAAGCATTACGCTTTACCTACGTTTAAACCACCAAGAATACTGTGCAAACAGGGTACGGACCTTGTTATAAAGCTGTTTGATATCTTCAGGGTTCCTCACGATAACATTGTTATGAAGGATTTCAGCCTGGCACATTCTGAAATCCTTCCCACCTACTTCCACAGGAAAGGGAGATTCATAGGACTCAAAAACTCTTCTTTTCCTTCTTGGGGGATGAAAAGCTGCTGCTGCTGCCATTGCTTAATATGGATGTTTCCTCCTATGAAGCGGAAACAAAACAGTTAATGTTGAGGAGTTAAAATTCACTCATTTCTATGGTTCATCAATATCTATCAAATCTATCTATCTGTTTTTCCTCCTGGGTACTGCAGTACCCCAGTTCTCAGCCAAGAGCACACTGAAGGTGAAAGACGAGCCCTAAAACTGCTGAAACCGCTTCAAAAATCAGACGAATGCGCAGAAGAGCAAAAACCACATGCGTGCCTCAATATAACATGTTTTGAGTAATTACGGCAACGAATCCCAAGGAAAGAGCCGTGGCTTGGCACTTTCTTTTCTTTCCAGACGGAACCCCTTTCACAGGGCAGCCGAACCAGGCCTGGGATCTCCGGGACAGGGGCACCGGTAACCCCCCTCCCGCAGGCCGCGGCTCCAAGCGCCACCACCACCGCACCCGCCTCAGGAGGCCGGACCCCGGGGTCGGCAGCGCGGCGCCTTACGGCCACAAAGGGCCCGGCCCGGGGCCAGCGGCCCCGCCCGCGGCGAGGTGCAGGGAGACGGGGAGCGGGGACCCGCAGGCCCCGTACCCGCTCCGGACCCGTCACCATAGCGACCGCACGGCACCCCCCGCCCCACACCTCACGCACCCGTCCGCGCCGCGAGACTCCTCCCCCGGTGGGCAGTGGCGCATGCGCAGTGCAGGCCCCGCCCCGCTGGCGGCAGCGCTGTGAGGGGCTGGGTCCTACTGCCCGCCTTCGGGCAGAGCGGGGGGTAATGGGGGCTCCTCACCGGGACCCGAGCGGGCGCTGAGGGAAAGGTACGCAAATAACGTGATAAATGAGAGCAAACATCACGTCTTCTGGTTTGATGCGCTGTGAGCCTGTTACCCGTTTGAGCGTTGCACGTCGGAGTTATAATCACACGTGCAAATAAGATGCAACTACTCTTTTGTTCTGAGGTAATACTGTTGAGGTATGGAGATGTTTTGGCTTCAGAGAGGCTGACTCAGTAGAGAATTCGCAGAATCCCAGCCTGGTTTGGGTTGGCAGGGCCCTTAAAGCCCATACAGTTCCGACCCCCTTCCACTAGAGCAGTTTGCTCCAAGCCCCTGTGTCCAACCTGGCCTTGAACACTGCCAGGGATGGGGCAGCCACAGCTTCTCTGGGCACCCTGTGCCAGCGCCTCAGCACCCTCATATCTCCTCATGTCTAATCCAGAGGTCAGTGAATTCACTGGTGAAAACCTGTAAGAACACATCATTTTTATGAGGTTTTTTATCTCTTATTCCCATTTTGCAGACATGAGTCATGGGGATCAGTAAGCCTTATAAGGCCACCCAGGAAATGTAGCACAACACATGGGAGTGCTGAGGTGGTGTTCCTGCAGTTCTTTCCTATAGAGGTCACTTCATATTCCATCTGATGAGTATTAGTTGAGTTTGGACATAACTCGCACACAAAGTGCTGAAGGTAAACCACAGAGGACCCTGCTCCTGTCACCAAACCACACAGCAAATCCTCTGAGATGGTTCATGGAGCTCTGCTGCTAAAATACTTAAAGTGTTCCAGGTCACAATGTAAAAACAAACCAGCATCAAAGGTGTCACCCTGTTTCAGAATTCCTTCTAAATTTGTCAAGTCCCATTTAAATGGAATTTAAATGGCGTTTATTTGTGCTAGATATATCTTGTTATTGTGCAGACGCATTGCCATTAAGCTTAATGTTACAGTGATCAGTAGACAAAATGCACAAAACCTTTAGGTCAGTTGCTTTCCTTCACATCTCATTATCTTCATACAGCCTTGAGGGGGAAACCACAGTGTACGCCACTCAGCCACTGCTCTGAGTCACACACAGATTTCTTCAGCCCCATATCTGCTCCCATTGCTTAACTGTGAGCCCAGTCTGTGCTTCAGCCAGAAATGTTGCTGTCTGAAGGACAAGCTTGCGCTATGATGAGGTGGTTTTTAGGCTATCAGTCATTGTACAGACACTTTCACAGATACCTGCATTTCCCTTTTTGTGATGAGACAGCAAACGGCCAGGCAGCAGCTAAATGACTAAACCACAGCTCTGAAAAGCAAACCCTCCAGGCTGCAGTAAATCACGAACTCGGAATGAGTCAGAAATGTCATACTGCTGTCCAGAGTTGAGAAGAGATGTGACAAGAGTGACCTGTGAGGAAAGGCGGCAGTAGCTCAGTCTGGAAAAGGTAAAATGGGTGAAACAGAACATTGTGAAGAGGGAGGCACACACTGTATTGAAAAGTGATGTTGTGCCTGTGAGGTGAGGACTGCATTGCAAGCCTTGAAGATCCCTTTCATGGAAGTTTACAGGTCTCTGCAGCACAGCAGAAAATGTAGTACTGCCCTTGAGAGGCTTTCATTAACTCATCTCTCAGCTTTCCATTTCTGTGTTAACAGCCTTTCGGCTCATGAATGCAACTTTGAGAATATACTGCTTCATGTTCTCTGCCTAATTCGTTGCTTCGAGCGCAGAGTACTTGATTGCACACTATTTCTTGATACTCAGTGGGGTTGTTCCACTGCTTTTTTATACACCAATGTCAGACCAATGTCAGCTTCCTGAAAAGACCCTATTTTCTAAACCATGAGAACGACTTGGTTGCAACCCCTCAGTTCCAGAAATGCATTGCCTTAAACTTTGACACAGTTGCCTTTGCTGCACAGTTTCCAGCTGTCTGTAGCCTGATCCTCCATGCCGTGTTGTTTCCACTGCCACCCCCAGAATTCCCTATAGTGCTCTTCTGCTTGGGAACACTGCTGCATGCCCAGTAGTGCATGTACCAGCAATATGCCTTGCCAGGGGAAAGTAGCTTCTGCTCTGTGTTGTTACGGTATTTCTCAGTTCATGGTGGAGGAGTAGAACTGAAAAATAGTAACAGTGGAAACTGTCAGGCTTATTAAATTCTTTCTGTGCCCACATAACTGGTAATATCCTTTAAAATTTGCATAAGCATTTGCAGTCATGTAGCCTCAGCCTTTCTGTGGTTTACTGTGTCCTTCCACAATGGCTATTACATTACAGAGTACATCTGGAATCATTTCAATAAAACATTCTGTTTATAAAGAGCTCATTTAATATTATATTAATGAATATTTAAAATCAAATAATAACTAATTTTCGTGCTATGAAAATTCTGCTGCCAGTAAAATTAAGTTGCCATGTGTAGGAAAGTGCCAGGAAGTTTGGTTATCCAAGGTAGTGGTTTTCTGGATGTTTGGGGACTTCTACAGGGAGTTGGGAAGTTAATTCCCAGTCCTATCCCAGCCAAACCATACAGGCCAGGTACTCCTTAAGTACATATTTTACATTCTTAAGCTTATTAAAAGAAACAGAAATGTCGGCCTGTAAAACTATTTGCCTGTGTAGCACTCTCAAGGAAATTAGTCATAAAATCATGAAAGAATGACCTATTCTTGTAATGTCTTTAGGTAATTTTGGATTGCATGCCAAAAAAAAAAAAAAAAGTTCTGGCTCTTCACAAGTTTTTCTGTCTCTGTTTTCCATGGAATTTTCCTGTAAAATGTTCTTATCCCAAACTGGTGGTAGTCCACAAAAAGGAACATTGTGACACTTTCTTTTAACTGAAGCCTGTTCCCTTCTCTCAAGGTGATGTGACACACAGCTGCTGGTGGATGAGCTATAGTTACTTACATTAGCCAGTTCCAGGTTCCATAGACTGACAGAAATTCCCATGGAAATTCTTCTTCCATTAACTTTGACAGAGATATGGGACTGTTTGGGGAAACTTTAAAAAAAAAAAACAACTAGGGAATACTTTTCATTTTTATTAATATGCAGTATCTTAATTTTGTTTATTAAAGAAATAAATCAAGGTTAGTTTCTGCTTAGTTTCAGATGGTTTCCACAGGAGACAAAAAAAGAGAAGTCAGACAAATACTGGCCAAGTATCAACCCAGTAGGAAATCCCATAAGAGCTGAAATCCCAAGGTGGATGGCAACAAATTGAATAGCATGAGAAAAGAGAACATTGAAAATGAGTATCTAGTGAGACATGGAAAGTGATTTTGTGTTTTTGGAGATTAAATACACTTTGATGAGGAATTCTTAGGGAGCCATCTGATCCAGGTGACATCTCACCACTCCTCTGCACGAGGTGAGTGAGCACTCTGCAGGCGTCGCAGTGCACAGCATCCCTTTTCTGCCCTCATCACTGGCACTCAGTGTCTGTTACAGACTATATGTACTTGAAAATTATGTGAACATTAATTTTCTCTGCATCCAGCCTTTCAGCATCCCCACAGTTCTACCCTTGGAAACGAAGGCAAAAGATCCGAGCTTGCAATTTCAGGGGAAATTAAGGGCACTTACAACCTCTGGGTTTTGCCCATCCCCTGAGCTCCAGTATCAGATTTATTTACCTTTTGTTGAAGAAACATTTGTTCCTTCATGGGTCATTAGCTTTTTATGCTTCATCAGTCACCCGGGTAAATTGTTCAATGACGCACAGCTTCTGTTTTGCAAAATTCTGACACGGTCACCTTCACCTTAAGCAATGGGCCAGGCAGTGAAAAGCAAGGACAAAACTCCAGCAAGATAATCAGCAAAAGGCCATTTCTTTTATTTCAGTGGAAAAGAAAACTGTAATAATGAGAGATCTCCACTAGATGTCCATATTTCATCAATTTTCCATTACAACTTCAGTGTAATTACAACACAGCCCTGTGCAAACTGCCTACGAACTGCTGTGTTCCATTGGAAGATGCGACTACGCGATAGATTTTCATGCTAGAGAAGCTGTGCACCTGGTTCTTTGTCCAGAAAGGCACTGAACCTAGTGCCAAACACTCAAACCCCACCTTTCACGTGGTACATCATCTACTCTTAGAAGGCAGCTGGCACACTTTCCAGACGCAGTCTCTCTGGCTGTTTGCAACCTTGCTTTTCTTACTCTTTTCAAATTATTATGTGCTTTGTATTAACTTGTAGGAATAAATAGTTGGAAAAAGCTTTCAAGCTTTTTAGTTTTGTTTTCTGTTTGGCTGTCTGTTTTTCACTGCATAGTTCCTTTTTGCATTCAGTTGTGTGCAGAATGGCTCTGATTTTTAGATACACCTGCCTAATCATTAAATAATTTCTTTGTTCATTATATTTCTCTCCAAATATTTATGTCTAATATTTGCCTGCTTTTTCTGGGTATCTAATGGGTGTTGGAGAGCACAGTTACGCTCATGTGTGTGTAGATACGGTAACTGAGCACACAATTTTAAACAAACTGGATGCAGACAGCTTTTTGGCCCTGCTGTTCATTTACAGAAGATGCTGCTCAGCAAATCTAGAGCATCATCATTATCATGCCAAATCGGTGCCGTTCTGACTGCTTTCCTTAATGACCTGTAACACTGCAAACTGAGATGCTACTTTATGCTTAATATACCCGTGATGTTTTTGTGATTGGTGTACCAGTTCATTAACAAGAGGTCACAGACCAGAAATGAGGTTAAATGTTAGGCAATTCCAAAGGCTTGAAATGAAGGCCTTATTTAAGATTACTGAATTCCATTCTAGGAATAACCCAGAAGAGAGTCTTTTTTTCATTGTTTTTCTTCTGGTTTCCCAGGCATTTTCAGTTTCATTAAATGTAAGGATGGAATAGATTTTAGAGAATGCTATGTACCAGACAGCTTCCAGGACCAGATGCAAACTAGGCACTAGTGATTTATAACTCCCATAGATGTGAGTATAACTTCTAAAACTGAATCTTTCTCCGACACTTTTACCTTATTTACAATATTAACGAAACAGAATAGGTTCCTTTTATTATAGAACAAAATGAAAATCTAGTGTCACTCCATTTAATCTAGACCATGCCCGATCCAGGAATGAGCTTTCACATTTAGCTGTCTCTAAGCACATAAACAATCCTGCTGGATTCAGCTATTATCTGAAACGTGTCTCAAAGCTCATCCTAAATGCTGCCTAGGTTCATGTGTCATAACTGACAAAAGGACAAAATAACAAGCAAATTAAGATAAACCCCTAAATCATCACATTCTAAGAATGGAAATAAACCAAATAAATCAGTTTGCTGCCAAAAGTATATACATTTTTGAACACAAAAAAAAACCCAGAACATCCTCTTATGGAATATATCCCAATCTTGAATATTTACTTTCCGTTTGTTTAATAACAGGAAAAGCTTTGTAGGTCTTTTGTTGATTTTTACTTGTCAGCATCTTAATATTCCTATGGTATTCTTCTTAAAACTATTAACAGGAAAAAAAACCCAGTGCCATGGCCTATACTAGGAAATGTTCTGTTTATTTTAAATGCATTTATGAGCACACAAAGACAAACAATTACCTATCATAAACCAAGGGAGCAACTTATAATGGCTTGGTGTCTCATTTGTACTTCTTTATATAGTTCCTTGGCTCATTTGTCCCTGCCCTTCCTGTGTTCTGTGTGTTACCTCTCTCTGTACCTTCTGAACTTGAGTGTAGATTAAATCCTTATTTTTTTTCCCCCTTTTTCATTTCCCCCTTACCTGCTGGGCTCTGCTTCTTTTGGTGTTGCAGCCATAACAAACATTGGGCTAAAGGTTTATAACACAACTACAGTGGGGTCAAGGGATTGTCACTAGCATGAATCCTAAAACTGAAGGGCTTCTTTTTAAGTACATAGCTCTTAGACTAGACTCTGACAGAAAGTATGCCAAACACCTTTCAATGATCAATAGACTTCTTACAGAAGTACTTCAACGTGTTTTGGCCTCGCTTGTTCCATTGTGGCAACTGCAGTAACCACAACCACTTCACCGAAAACTAATCATGTTAAAAAAGTAGGATAGTTCTGCTACTGCAGGATAGACCAAGCTATATCTGATGGGCTAGTTCTCTTCACATAGCTGTAATGTGATGTGTGCTTGTTTAAACAGGGAGTAAGGTACAAACAGTGACTGGATTCCCCAGGATCATAACTGTGGGCACAGTAGTGTTTGAAAGTCAGGCTTTAGATAAAAAAAAAAAAAAAGGCAAATAACTAATAAAAGAAAGTGCAAACAGTAGGGAAATCTTGTTTCCATCTGTCAAGCTGTATAAAGGACAGTTGTACTGGAAAGAGTGGTTGGCATTGTGGAGGCTACTGGGGTTCAGGCTTTTAGTACATCTTACGTACTTGAAGTAGTTGGGGCAGGATGCATGATCTTCACCCAGTTGTTCTGCATCTTCACTGACTTAGCTATACAAGAGATCTTTGGCACGGAGACCAAGTTTTCAGTGATAAGCATCAGGCTGAGAGACCCAGGCTTTGTTGATCATATCTATTTCCTGATTATTGTCATTAAAATGAGATTCAGCAGGAAACTAGGATCATTACTACTCCTTTAAAAAT